TGTAGTGTTAATAAGCATTCTGCTTACTTTAGAGCTAGCATGAGCATTTCTGCTACATTCAATCCCACTTCAGGCTCCAGGATAGACATACACTGTGTCTCCAAGTTATTTATATAAATAAGTGATGTTCTGCCTATGCACCAAGTACAGTGTTACTGACCAGGTGTCTCTTCCTAGGGCTCTAGTTTCTTTCAATGATTGTAAATATTCAGTCAACAGCTTCATGAGAAGAAAGGTGTATAGACATTACCCCATCATTTAACATGGCTTCAATCATGAGCCCCCACAGATCAATAAAAGATGTTTTATGTCCTGCTTGGGTCCTTTGGCTCAGCTCTCTGTAATAATTCCTGAGACTTTTCAAGCAAAAAGCCCCCATCTTGCACTTGGCTGCTTGCTTCCGTGCTTCAACAATTACTTCCCCAAGATCCTTACGCGACCAATCAGCGTCTTCATATAGCTTTGTCATTGTCCTGCAGACAGGAAACATGATGGAATGCAGGGAGAAATGAACAAGGTGCTTTTGAAACTCAAAAAATAAACTTCGTAGGGTTTGGGGTGCATATCATTTTATCTTTTAGTTATTCTCCTCTTTGAGCTTTGAGTAGAAATACAAGTCTAAAGGCAATCAGTCAAAAATCACTTAAACTGAGATTAAGATGCAACACAAGCAGCTACACCAGCTGACAATGTTGTTTCTGTCAAACAGTAAATAATAATAAAGGATTATTTTTCATAGGATTAAGGATGTTTACACTTCCCATTAAGTCTCCTCTTTTGGTTAGGGATAGGTCACAATAATTCTTTCATTCTTGGCACTCATAGCCCAAAGATGGAAGCAATAACTCAATTGATCACATTTACCCTTTCTGAAACCAAGACAGAACACAGGCTTTTCTTAACACAGTAAGATCCAAACAACAGTATCAAACTGACTCCTCACCATGTTGTGCCAGATGAACCACTGATGTATGAAACACAATCCAGAACACGCAACTTTTGGAGACCCAAAATGCTGCCATACATGGCAGTGAGTGCTCTTATACCACACCCTGCTGTGGTCACAGCCACTATAGGCACCTGTATGACACAATAAATAAATAAATAAATAAATAAATAAATAAATAAATAAAAGTGAAGCATAGGTGAAAGAGTGGCATTAAGGCACAAATAATGTCAAAAGTTACAGAAATACGAAAGCAGCATCCAGACACTAGTAAAAGAAAACATATAAATTAAGAAATAAAGCAACATTTCTCTATACTGTACATCCATGTGGAATATACTAGGTTTAATCACTTTAAAGAAGATTTTAAAGAAACGCAGACCAAACTTTTGGTTTGGATGCCTTCAAATAATTCACTTGTAAGCTGAGTGGAAACAGATTTTGCTCATCAAAACAGACAGTTGAACTCTCCAGCTGAGACCACACTGGTGACAATATGCCCTGGAGGATGAGCTGGTGTTAACGATCCTCACTGCTTATCCAGGTGGAGGTAAAAAAAATCATCCCTCATTTCTAGGCTTGAGGGAAAGGAGAGAGAAAAATCCCCCAAAAGTGCCCTTAACTGGTGTACCTCATGCTCTTGCAGATCTTCCTCCAGATGAAGAACATCCTTTAGCGCAGCAGCAACGACCTTCTTTCGGTTTTGCAGGAAATTCTGTTCATCTGTGCAGAGGTCAAAGCCCAGGCGGGCGTCAAGGTTTCTTGGTCTGAAACAAAGACCCTGGGTCCTGAGACCAGGGCACAGGTATTGTATTATTAGTCACTGTGGACAACTCCAGCTGTGCTTGTGTGTGTTTACAGATCAGTTTGTGGACAGTATAAGGTAATACACGAGGAACAACAACACCACAGACAGACCTCTGCTAATTGCTGTAGCTGAAAATGAGAATGCAAATAGGAAGGCAGAGCAAATCATGACACACTGTCCACTATGTATCTACTACAGACTTCTGGTTTTATTTGCTCATATAATTAATTTTTGAAGTTTCAGTAATGCTGCCATACATCCTGTAACTAGATAACCACTGTCAACAGGCACTGCAGCTGTGAAATTAGAGAAATACCTATCATGCCTTGAAGTTATTTTGTTTGTATAATTCAGAACTGTGATTTCTTTGCAGAGCTGCTCTCTCCATCTGTGGGCATAACAGTGCACAAAAATCAAGACCTATTTCTGAGATGCACTAGCAGCTTGGAAATTTGGAGGACATGCTTCATGATTTAATTTGCCATCAATTAAAAAGGAGAACCTCACAAATAAAAGCCTACAACCCTATAATGAACTCACATATCTGCTCCCATCTGAACCTGCATAGACCCCTGCTGATTTCAAGTGAGCTTTGTGTAGGAGCAGAT